ATAACATAACACATAACATATAAGCTAAACATACTCTATTGTACTCCTGATCTAAGGCCTCGCCCCTGTCCTACTACTGATGAGTCATGAAACCCCATCCACACTCCTGCTGATAATGAGATACGGCCCCCCGCCCACACTCACCTTCTCTCCTATCTCAGGCCCTGCCCCTGCTTTGCTAATAATGAGATACAGAACCCCATCCATACTTAACTAGTGATGAGATACGGGACCTCGTCCACACTCACCTCTCTACCAGGCACACATAAGTATCATAAAGACAACAAGTATAATCTAACAAGCAACATATAAACCTTCCTCGGGCTTGCCCCGACATCGGACCTTGGTCCGGAACCATACTATCATAAACATTCATCGCGTTTACCTTAGCATCATACCTTGGTACGGAACCTATAAACACTGACACATGCAAGAATCACAAAGACCTCTAGCATACTAACATTTCTCGAGCCTCGCCCGGCATTTGATCGTAATCCGGAACACACATCATAAAATGCCTAGGGCTAACCCCTGGGTCTTCCTACTATACACAAGCATAATGGGCCATCATTGTGGCCGTAGACCCATGCACACAGTGAGGAGACTCACCTCGCACTGCTGAAGACCTGCTGATACTCCTCTGGCTGCTAACTGGCAATTCCCCGAACTGCTGCTCCTTCGGCTGCCCGAGCTACCATTACCAAAAATAACAATTAGTCCATCCAATAATTCTCCTTAGGGTAAAATGACCATTTTAACCCCTAGTCCAACTTGGTCCATATCTAAAGCCCAATACTAGGTAGGCTTCCCAAGCCCACTAGTGGTCCACTAATGGCCCAATTTGCTAAATTGGGCCCAATCCTTCTAATGGGCCTTACCCTAAGCCCAAACATATTCTTGGTCCAAAATATCTGACTTCTGATGGACCATTAAATCCCAAAGGACCAAAATCCAATGCATGGCCCAATCCGAAGCCCAAAACACGCCAAGTCCACTTTGACTGAGTAAGCGGGGCGTACTCAGTTGTACGTAGGGCATACTGGGTTTGTGACCTGTATGCTGCGTGTATTAGCTTGTACGCCCAACGTACTCCCCTGTTAAGCTCTTTCTTCTATTAAGCACTTAATGCTTCTACCCCATGGTCCAAATCATAGATCTGAGTTCCTCTTAACGCCTGAATCCATAAAGTCACTAACTTGGTGACTTTGCATGTCCCAAACAAGTCCAAACTCCAAAAATGATATTCTAGTTCCATGAAAATGGTCTTAACTCTTGAATTAACCCATTAAGACCACCAAGATGACAACTTTCTGTCCTAGGGAGCCATTTAGCACCAAGGGTGGCAACCCTTAGCCTAGAAATCAGATTTGGACTATAAAGCTTCATCCTTTGGACCAAAATGACTTCAAAACCAAACTACACTAGATCTAAGCATACTTGAGGAAAGTTTATAGCTTTGTACCTCAATGTGGTCTGAAATGGAACCCCAATCTCGGATCTACTGCTTCTCCTTTGATCCACCACCTTGATATGCTCTTCACTTCTTTGGAAAATGGATCCAAGACACCAAAATGCTCTCTATTGGCCTTCTAAGCTCCAAGAAAACTCAATGGAGGATTAGGGTTTCGTGCTAGTTGCTTTAGGGTGAGAGGGAGGCTGATCCTTGAAGTATTATGTTCTTTATATAGTGGCATACCCTAAAAATTAGGGTTTAGGAACTCTGAGCGTACGCTGGGCGTACTCTTCCCACGCCCGCGTTCACTTTATTTCCTACGCTGGGCGTACCCCCAGCTTACACTGGGCGTACTCTTGCGCCTACCACCTTGCATGCATGGTCCTTTCTTGCCAACTTTCTCCATTAAGGCCCAATAATGAAAATGACTTCAAAATGCTATAACTCCTTCATTCTAAGTTCGTTTCCAACGAACTTTATACCCACGAAAAGGTGGCGAGAAGCCCTACGCTTCTAACTTCATATGCAAGCCTTAAATCCTTTCGAATAAACCCGAGACCCATAAAAGTTTGAATCGTCAAATCACGCTTATACCCTTGGCCTTCGAAGCCACAACCGAGCACTTTCTAAACCGGGTGTTACACCTCGTTATAAAATCGATAAGACACAGAACGCCAAAAACTAATTTTGTATGAGAAAGATATGATTTTTTCAAAATCATTTAGGCTTATAAAAATATTTGATAAAAATAAAATCAGAGTTAGCCAATGCAACCTAAAGGAAAGTTATAATACTCGATGATAGTTGTGCATGATATAAAGAAAGTCGAAAACAGAGCTCGTATGGAGGAGATATGAATTTTATAAAAAAAATTATTTTGTGTGCGTGTCACACGCGCCATGCAGGACGCGCAGGTCTGGCGATGAGATTCGTTGAGATATGGGAGACGTGGACGAACGGGGAGAATGACACATGTCAAGTTCTGGGTGGAGCCATTGTTTTTGTGTGTGACGTGCATCTATGATGATGCCGCATGCGCCCTAAAATGCCCATTATAAATAGAGGTCCGTACTTATTAACATTTCACATCTCAAAAACACTCTCTTATTCCTTATAACCGTCCTAAAGGTCATATCTCCTTCCACATGGCTTGAGCCTCCCGATTTAAAGTCTCGGATCAGTCAAAGCACATGACAAGTGTGTGTTCACAGCCCCACCTTTACGATTTTTATGAGTTTTACAAGGGCAATACATGTTAGATTAATATATTATTGATTTTGTAAAATATTATTATCTACATTATATTAGTAATTTATAAAATTCATAAAACGTTAGGATGATATTATATCTGGTAATTACCCTGCCAATATTTTAGGAATAATATTATGCCTAGTCGTTATGCTCCACAAACCTTAGGATAATATTATACCTGGTAGATACTCTGCGCAAACTTTATGATAATATTATACCTAGTCGGTACTTTGGCCAATTCTCTAGAGTAACATAGTGCCTACACGTTATCATGGCCAAATCTATATGATAGCATTGTACCTAGTCGTTAGTCTACCTGAATAACCTATAGAAATAACTAAACTACTATAATTATATGTATGTATATATATATATATATATACACACACACACACACACACACACACACACACACATATATATATATATATATATATATATATATATATATATATATATATATATATATACATACACATCAGTATAATTATGTAAGGAAATCAAGACAAAGGAAGTTAAAACTATGGATAACAAGATCAAAAAATATAAAATATACTATCAAGCTAAACAAAAAAGTTGTTAAATGAGAACGATACTATTCATTCTTTAGTTGATTACAGTTAACCCCGGCCTATAATCGTTAAATATTAAGTAAGGGAGAAAGATATGTATAAATCTATACTGGGCTAACATCCCCATATGTGGTTGCTAGCTACAAGCTTGATGGTCGAATCATAACAGGCATAACTTTCTAAACTAATTTACGACGTCAGATGAATCATCATACACGGAGAATATCAACTCGAAAGTACGATTATAGGAACTCATTGAAACATTGTTCAACGAACCTTAATTATTTAAACTAAATAGAGGGGAGGGCCTTGAAGTAGTATTAGTATACATCAATATGCGAAAGGGGTGGAAATCTTATTAGAGATATACTATACGAAAGGGGTGACACATTTGAGAAGAGAAGTTATAATACTAATATACTATGAGTAAAAAATTCATCTAAGAAGAATGATAATACTACTCTAGTACCTTATCAAGCACCTATATGAAATTATTTTACATCCTAAGGTAACAATGTAACAAAAATATGAACACTTCTTAAGGAAAGCCAAGGTGTATTACAAGGATAAGGACACATGGGTAATAACAAGATATGAAAAATATAAAATCGAGGTCGTAGCTATTCATTAGAAGCCTAAACCATAGGAACAAGAAGATTTATGAAAGTTTAAATTCATATTCATAAGCAAAGATCCTATGCTAAAACTATTTAGAGTATTTTCACTATCCATAAAAAAAAAATCATGTGAACTGACCGGTATTATGTTTACTGTTTTCAAAATCACATGTATACATAGGGAACCTAAGAAGAGAAGATTGCAACGTGAAGGAACAATCCATAATGAAATAGATAGCATATATCATGTAAAGATCAATTGCAATTTTTGTTTGGTAATAAAGATATTATATGTATTGTTCAATATATGTTCTATGACTACGATGCTCAACGTACGTCGCACAGTCTGGTGTTTCCGCCGCCAGTTGGGGGTGTGACATTAGGCAGTTAAGACAGTCAAGAGGCAGGATCATTTCAACATATTGACTTTCTGAAATCCAACAACCAGATCAACGTGTCTACCCTAGACATTGTTCCCGTAACTAGATCAATCGATATAATGATTGTGATTAATGATTAATCAAATACATATTTTATAATAATGATAATGGTTATACTCTATATTAAGTTATCCTTAAGCGAAAGTGTAACTTACCCAATTGATGAAATCCTAATAATTGAGAGACGAACTTTGACGACTAATTCCTTATATTCTTCTAAAACTTCCAGCGCGTCGCTGCCAATATTATAGAACGAGGAATCGAATCATGTGGGACCGAAATCTCGAGATGGAGAGAGTTTGGGAGCAAAAGGCGCAAGGAATGGTGGAGGGTGGTCTTCTTTTTGTAAGGGTTGAATACTGATGGAAGCATCGCACCCATATAGGGACATGTCACGCCCCCTGCTGCAGCCCTCTTAGTTTGTCCGGTATCGACTATTTTCTTGTAAACTTTGTAAAATCATAACTCCTTCATACGAGCTTCGTTTTAGACGTTCTTTATATCAACAGGTTCGTAAGTTTGACGTGCAAAATAAAATAAGAGCAACTCAGTGAAACCAACAAAAATTAAAATTTATACTTGTTGAATATGGATGTTTTAAAAAAAGGGAGGAAGAAAAACATATAAAATTTGTAAAGAAGGAAAAAAGAAAAATACACATAATAATTTAATGTTTAATAACAATCATTGGATTTGTAGCCTTGATTGTAAAGATTGTCTGAACTACCGTCAGAACAAACAACACAATTCCAGCAAATAAAGCAATCACATTCCATGGACTACTGAAATATGTACGCTTCAACCCTGCAGCAGCATTAGGCCAGTAACTATTATAGTAGTTATCCAATTCTTGCCACTCTTGATGGTAGAAAAATTCCAGTAAGGCAACATCTTTGCATACACTGTTTATCATATTCACAGCTTTCTCATTCGAGCATAATTTATTTGCAATGACACCTGATTTTACCAACTTTTCAACATCTTCTGGAGTATCGATTAGCATATCCATGGCACAGATATATGATGTGACGTAATTAGGAACTAGAGATGACTGCTCGTAAGTAATGAGGTTCCTTAAAACTGGTTCACTGTCATCATTAAGAGTCACTTTTGGCATCCGCAGAGTAGGCTTAGACCAAAACCATGGGAAGCATGAAAACCTTGGTAATTCTAGTTTAATGGCCATTGCCCAATTTGCATCTTCATTAGGCCTAAAGTTCACCCCTGCCCTATCTAGGTCCATGGTCATGTGCCTCTTTGGATGTGTTCTAGATCCTGTTGGGATATCATGCACAGGCTGGAAACATTTGTGTAGAAAGCCAAGAATATGATCATGAGTTGTATCTAATTTGAAATTTCGTTGTACTAAATTTGCTCCAAAGATATTGTAGTGTCTGAGAAGTATTTTGATATGGTTTGTAAGAGAGGTGTTTGGTTTAAATTGGAGAATAGTAGACTCAAAGATGTCTTTAAGAACAAAAAAAGGGATTTGGTTTTCTATCAACACCATATCATTAACTATTGATGGAGCAATCAACATGCTTACTGGAAATGGTCCATCATCTTCTGAAAGAAGGTGAATGAAATCAAGTATGAAACAACCATCTATAACCATCATTCTAACAAGTTCTTCATCATTGTAGATCATTGACTCTGCATAACATGCCTTGACTAGTTTTATTTTCCTACTCACCTTGTGCACACATTCTTGTAACGTTTTCTCTGGGTTGCAACCTGAATGATCCAGTAGATGATGTAAATAAGTCGTTTTTTGAACTTCAAATTCTTGCAATTTTTTATCTTGTCTGTGGAGAGGTCCAATAGAGACCACCCTAGGGTTAAAAGAACTTGGGCTGTGATCCCGACAGACCCTAGGAACCATGAAAATTGATGCTAAACCATGATTGCCAAGTTTTCTTCCTTTTTCTTTACAATCAAGCAGAAACTGGACAGAATGGCAAAGGCTATCTCCAGCTCCAAGCTCCAAATCGCTAGTTGCCATTCAGAATATTAGTTAGCTTAATTTCCTCTGTAAGTAACAAGTTGCAAGAAATTTTAGAGGATAATAGATTATATGTGATTACAGAAATCACATTAAAGAAAAGATACAGTAAAAATGATGGGGTTACCTTCTTTACTGTGTAAACTAGTTCATTTGTTTGAGTTTTGTACTTTCAGTTTGAGGTTTAGACATTGTTGTCTATGGCTAAGATAGATACATATGTGGCTAAGATATATGGTGAACCAAATTTCACCCACTAATATCTAGCTACAACCTTCAATATAATAATAATAATTATTATTATCATACTATAAACAATATATCGTCTTAAATTTATATTATAATTATTTTTTAGTATTAAGAATTTGAGCATGACATTATTGCAATGCCATCTGATTTCTTAATATATTACTTATCATTATCATTATTTAATAAATATAGGGATGAAAAAATTGGCCGACTTTGCTTAACTTTTGATAGACGATAAACGGACGTCGTTGTTAGCAACAACTTATTGAATCCGCTGTTAAGGGAATATATTAAGTATCTTTATTTATTTAAATAATAATTTTAGCTATCATATCCCAAAAATATAATTAATAAAATTATTAAGCTTTTTCTATGTAGTAATTTTCAACAAATAAATAATAATTATAGCAAATATATCTTAAATATAATTACTACAGTTATTACTCTTTTTTACAAATATTAATTATACATAAATTCAATTCAACTCCATATGGTAAAAAAAAAAATTAGGGATATGAAACAACGTGGGAGATAGGTGGGATGTTTTTATTTTGGAACAACATAAATTTATTAAAAAAACAAGTGAGAAGCTTGAAAAACATTACAGAGAATTACAACAAAAGTCAAATTTTGGAGCTAATTGCTCGAGGAACGCCTAGCTTTTTTTATACCTATTCGAAATTCAAAAGAAAACGGTACTAAAAATATTATCAAATAAGTTAGCGAGCTTAGGCAAAAATGTTCAAAAAATAAGACTATTTATGAATCTAGATATCACCCAAAAGGCAGAGATAACCATTGCATCAAACGGTTTTCGAACTGAAGTTGAGACCACAACCGTATTCGCTTAAGAAAGGAACCACGAATCGACTCCTCTAGCAAAATAGCAAAACCCCACCAAATAGCAATATTCGACCATAAACCTTTCAAGATAGAACCCATAACAAAAATATGAACTATTGTCTCCTCATGTAATCCTCTACTTGAGAACCTTTTCTAGTCGGGATCCGCCCTTGGCTCTTGGAGTCTTGGGTTTGAAACAAAATAGGGTTTCATGCTATCGGGTCCTCTTCATCCAAAGCAAAGGTGGGTGTAACCATATCTCAATCACGGAATCTCCAAGAAGATCAAGATGATAAAGAGGTTAGTAATTTTTCATTGTTTTTCATAAGTAGGTTGCTATAATAGAATAAACTTAGATCCATTAGGGTGCATGTACACATAGGGTTTTATATTGCTTCCGCTGCCATAACTAGTGTGTATAGAATGCTAGAAAACTTATCAAAACAGTCCCAAAAGTCCTATCACCTAAATAAACATCTAACCAAAACTACATATGCTTACCATCACCTATGTGAATAGGGCAAAAAAGAATCAAATCCAAACCTATTTCCTCAATTAATCAACAACCTTAAGCAGCCCTGAACGTGAAGACAAAGAGGAAGAAACACGACTCTTAACACTGATCAAACCTAAACCATGAATACAATTTGTATTTGCATCCAAAGAGCCTCCGAGTATATAGGATATTGATATCTCTATTTTAAAATCAACGCTCGATTTACTTGAAACAAACTTCCAACCCCAAACATGTTGGAAATACTACCTACAATCACAACAAGCTGGTAATATTACTATTTATGGTTTGGTTCTTTTGGGTTACACGCAAGAGAAAATCTTTGCACTATTTGACAAGAGAGATAATTAGGATTTAGTTTGTGAATTTATTAGTAACTGATAAACTAATAGAAACATGTATTATAGCATGCAAAATCTATTTTCATACACATAACATTATATATATATATATATATATATATATATATATATATATATATATATATATATATATATATATATATATATCAAATAAAATAAACATCATAAGCACGCAACAAGAATATATAAACCAAGCCATTTACTACTATTAATTTTTGTAAGCGAACACAAGAATTGTTAAGTTATTCCTATAAGGACTTAAGGGACACTTTCAAAAGGTCTTCTAGCTACCACTTGCCAAAGAACTCTTGCTTGCAAAAAGGACTTCAAGACGCCACGAGTTTTAGATGGTATAAGATTTAAACCATTAAGACCATAATTAATCCCAAAACCATGAGTTCAAACTCAAGGTTGGGATTTTAGTATTAAGTGGTTAAGACAAAGAATAAGCTTCTAATCTAAGTAATTTCTTCAATATTGTTACAACTAGAAAAACAATAAACTAGTCTAAAACTAATTGATTACATAGAAAATAAACAAATGAAAACTTATTTATTCAATTATATCTTTATGAATAAATAAATATCAACCACAACAACACATCGGTCATAATGGTTTGTTTATACACAACATCATCTCATGAAATATAAAATCCAACACTTTTTAATACAACTTTATATAGCCAAAATTCATGAAAATTTTGGTTGCATAAAATAAACAATTTTAAAACTATGAGTTGCCATAGAAATAATATATAGTTATTTCTTAGCCAAAAAAGAAAAAATACCACATGTATTTTCTAAACCAAAGGTTAATAAAAAGTTATAATAAATATTTCTAACATGTAAAAGAGGCTTTGATACCACTGATGAATTTTGATAGCTAAAACACAATACATTTGCTTATAATGGCAACGAAAACAAATTTTAAATAACTACCATTTTAAACAAAACCATCAAGGATCTAATTACATGAGTTAGAAAAGATTATAAAACAACCATATGATGTTTATGATGAGATCCTTTAAAGCCTTTGATCTCACTTGGTATTGGGGAGTTGATGATGATGGAAAAAGAGCTCCAAGTAGAACGCATATATATAATATATCCAACAACAAGTATAAGCCACCAACAATGCTAGTTTTCACTTGTATTTATAACTTCTTAAGACTTTAAGTCCTAATCACATATTAGTCTTAGAGAAAAATCACATAATAACCACTAAATCTTTCACTATACTTCAAGAGAGATGAAGATGAGGGAAGAGATGTAACTTCAGCCAAGAGGGAAAAGAAGAGAAAAATCTAGCCTCAAATGAAAGCCTTTTCTCTTCTTTTATACACACATAAGCATTAAGTGTTGGAAAATAACACATTGTTATGGCCTTAGGACTATTTTCTAATACTTAGTACATGCTAGGTACATTTATATTATGTATCATAATGTTTGCCATAATGACGTATCAGTTCTCTGGACTTAAATATTTGTAGTATGATGGATATGACAATTTTCCATAACTTAAGGGACTATAATTGTGTGGTTCTAATATCTTTTCCTTAAGGTGCAAATGATGCAATATATGAACGATCTGGAGGATAATTGAAAAGGCTTTTCTGTTATGCTCTTCCTCCTTATAAAACACAATGATCGTGCAATCCCTCTCTACATCAGAAAATCATCAGGGCACCATTACGGGAAGATAAGGAATCATAAGGCAGTCGTCTTCAACATCAATGATATATCTCCAAGTAAGTATTCCTCAATTGATTTAGGGTTACTCATGATTATGTATAAAATTGATCTTGGATTATGCCTTTAATTTTACATTGTGGTATCAGATCATGGTTAAATTTCATGCCTTCAGTTTAATTTTGATTTTCTCTTTACTTTTGTTCGTCACAAATATTCGCAAATCAAAGAAAAAAAATCGTTGTCGTGTGTTCCATTTGGAATTTGATTCCGGATGCAAAACACAAATCTTATTAACAAATTACAATATGTGTTAATTTTGTGGTCTGGATACAAAAATGTTCGAAGACCATGGCTAAGAAGATTTTTATTTTTCTTTGACGGCAGTGGGGTTTTGGCCCTAAAAGAATCGACCTTATAATTTTTTTTTTCTCCTTTTGCCTTGAAATTAGTTATATCCATTTTTTAATTATTTAATGTTGGATGTTGGATTATTGTGGACCTTTCTTAGACGATTGTTAATTTCTTTCATACGTTATGCTTTTGTGATTGATAAACTCTTTATGGACAAATTTGAGTTTTTATTTATTTATTTATTTATTTATTATTTTTTTTTTGTCTACTCCCCACTGAATATGGATTTTCTGGTCACCGATCAAAACAATAAAATAAAATGATGATATTCCATTTCAACCATTACAATGTGGGTCATTATCCTTTAAGAGTTTCAGGATTGGTGACGAAATCGCTTACTTTTCCAATTACCATGGATGCTTATTTGTGAATATTAAATTGTTATCGTTCATGATAATTGTCTTATATTAATGAATTATTACGAACTAGATGTTATGTCAAATTAAAATTTTATTATAAAATGATTTCATAAAGTATAATTATGAAAGGCATATGAACCGAAAAGTTTGATTAAAATTGTAATGCAAACAGTAGACCATATATTTTTATGGGAACCTAGAATCATGACTAGCTTGGTTTCTTCCTATTATTTGTTTTAAAGCTAAATGAGGTTTTTTCTTATTTCCTTTAACTGTTTGCACTTAATATACAACTTTTGGGTATTCTGTTAATGGTCTACGCTTCAAGGGAAAAAAAACTATAAAAAACTCAATAGTTTTTTTGTTTTTTTTTTGCTAACCATCCCAAATGGATTATGATCTACCAATTATATTAAATCAGGTGGTGTTAGTTTATAATAGCCATCAATCCTAAATTCCTAGATGATAAGTGGTAACTTTGATGTTTTTCTTAAGTGACTGGACCAAAGAAAAGTTAAGTTTGGCATTAGAGTTGATTGAATACCACATTAAGCAATTGTTTGAGTTGTTA